AAAATAACTTGGGAGATATATGGGTAGGTATTCGTGAACATGAACAAGAGAAGCTTCGTCAACAAGCTGAAATAATTAGGCAAAAGGAAGATGAACTTAAACTTAAGCGACTTGAGTTCCTTTTTAAAGATGCAAATGGTATGAACGACCAACAAAAGAAAGATCATGAGAAACTTTGTGAACAAATTCTAATTATGTACGATTTGAACTAGTTATTTTATGCATATGTTATTGAATAAAAATTATATTTCACTTTTATTTAAGTCGCATGTCTTGTTAATAGTGATTCTATGTACTTCTATTCTATAAATGATTAACTTTAAAAAGATGAAGTCAAACTATGACGTTAGTAATTTTTATATACATTCTGCGGTTAGTATTTAATATTAGTTTATTCATATATAATACATAACTATTTGTACATATATAAATAATAAAGATATAATTGTTTAGAATTATATCATAAACTAGCCGTCAGGAATATTATTAGTTACTACTATTTGAAATTATATTATTTATAAATTATACTCCGTACTTAATAATGAAATATTTTCAAACATTAAAAAGAATATAAAACATATATTATGACATAAATATATATTAAAAACGGAAATTGTCCTAAATAGGACTAATGAGTTCCTTAAAAGCACAAATAGGACTACTACTTTTTAAATTCCCTAAATAGGACTAGACATTGATTTTCTACCCTAAATACCCCTAAGAGTATTAATTCCTAATGAAATGCTTTAATTCATAATAAAATCATAAAAAAACGTAAAAAATATTTAAAAAACGTAAAAAAATTATAAAAATTTATAAAAAATTTATAAAATAAAAAAATTAATTTTTTATTTTTTTAATTTTTTTTTAAAAAATAATAAAAATAGTAAAAACCCATAAAAAAATGAAAAAAATTATGGATACCTTTCCCACCGCCTCCTGCCGCCTCCCACCACCACCACCTCCGATTGGTGAAATTTCTTCCACTTTTGGTAAAAAAATGCCATCTTTTTCTGAAAATGCCAAAAAGATGGCATAATTACTCTTCAATATGCCAACATTTTCATTGAATATGCCATCATTATGGCATAATTTAAAATGTTGGCATATTTTTCTCCGGTGATGGGAGCTAGTGGTGCTGGGGGTGGCAGGGGTGGTAATGTTTTTTTTTTTTTAATTTTACGATTTTTTTTATTTTTTTTAATTTTTAAAAAAAAGTTTTTTTTTATTTTTTTAAAAAATATTTTTATTAATTTTCTATTATTTTTTTTATGATTTTTAGTATTTTTTTCGATTTTTATTATTATTTTTATGATTTTATTATTAATTAAAACATTTCACAAGTTACAAGGGTATATTTGTCCAAACACACATAAATAGTCCTATTTAGGGAATTTAAAAAATGTAGTCCTGTTTGTGCAATTTTGCCACTTTTTAGTCCTATTTAGGGAATTCACTCTATTAAAAATTACTACGTAGCAATTAGGAACTAATTGCTAATATTAGTTGTCTGGTACATTTTTAATCTTGTCGATCATGTCATTCTATATGATCTACGTAGCATATTATTTTAAATTATATCATGCTCCGTATATAAATACTATTTTATATATACTTGTATAGAAAAAGAAATATTATACTTTACAAGAATATCACATACTAGTTGTTAAAAACTAGCCGTTAGAAACTAATGTGTTAGAAATTAGCCGTTAGAAACTAATGTGTATATATATACACACAACACAAGAAAAGACAACTGCTCATTCTTTCATCAACGTATCATATATATCTGTCAACAACACTACTTATATTCATTATAAAAAAATGTCTACAGATTCAAATTCTGTTGAACTACGCATGGCACGAAAGTACTGGATTAACCGGTTACGAGAAAGTGCCAATGATTCGTTGACTATATTGAAACTGAATGTTCTTGAGGAGGTGGAGAGGCAAATTGAAAGTGGTGAAAGCTCAAAAGCTAGACGAAAAAAGAGAGCTTACATCGACCGTGATCGTCAAAGCGGCCAATTGCGTCTTTATAATGATTACTTTTCAGAACAACCCGTTTTTTCTCCAAACTATTTTCGTCGACGCTTTCGAATGCGTAGGCCGTTATTTCTCAAAATAGTCCATGCAATTGAAAATTATTCCATTTATTTTCAGCAAAGGGAAGATGCATGCCGAAAGAAAGGGTTGTCACCACTACAGAAATGCACTGCTGCCCTCCGTCAACTGGCATACGGAACTCCCGCAGATAGTTGGGATGAGTACATAAGAATGGCTGAAACAACTACTATAGAAAGTTTGAAGAATTTCTGTCAATGTGTGATCAAACTTTTCGGTAATCAATACTTGAGAAGGCCCAATGCAGATGACATAAGACATTTACTTGAAATTCATGAACGGGGGCATGGCTTTCCTGGCATGCTAGGTAGTCTTGATTGTATGCATTCGGAATGGCGGAACTGCCCCCGTCGCTTGGAAGGGTCAATTTACTCGAGGTGACCACGGGGTTCCAACAATTATGCTTGAAGCTGTTGCGTCTGCAGATTTATGGATATGGCATGCGTTTTTTGGAGTAGCAGGGTCACGCAATGATGTCAATGTACTCAATGAGTCTCCACTATTTAATAATAATATTCTGCAAGGTGTTGCTCCCAAAGTTAACTTTACGGTAAACGGCACACCATATACGAAAGGATATTATTTAACCGATGGGATATACCCGGAATGGTCTACCTTCGTTAAAAGTTTTTCATGCCCCCAAGATCTTAAAAGAAAAAAATTTAAAGAAATGCAAGAAGCTGCAAGAAAGGACGTGGAGCGAGCATTTGGAGTACTACAGGCTCGTTGGGCAATTATAAAATATCCTGGACGTTATTGGCATAGAGTAAATTTGCGTGATATTATGTACACATGCATAATTTTGCACAACATGATTATTGAAGATGAAGGAGATAATGCGACAAATTGGTGTGACGATCAGAATGGTGCACTTGATGATGAAGATGATGCAGATAGACTAATTATAAATCACGGTGCCCCCCCCCCCCCCCCCCCCCCCGCATTTCAAGAGTACATTCGTCTCAATTCCGAAATTAGGGATTCTCAATTACATCACCAACTTCGACATGATTTGGTTGAGCACATTTGGGCACATTATGGCCACAATAATTAAATTATTGATTTATTAGCATTATTTGCTAGTCTTATTTAAGCATTGTTGTTTAAATGTCATTTTTAAAGATGATTAAATTTGAATGATTGATTATGTTAAATACAATTTCATACAATAAAACTTTTATATATAAAAATATAAACACATATAATTAAAATATAATTACATGTTATAAATACTTAATAAAAACGCATATATTAATATATGTGATTAAACTTGAACAAAAGAAAAACAGAACAAATCAAATAAAGTTTGGAATAAGGAAAATACAAAAAAGAGAGTAAGTATACGTTGGTCACTAATCCCCTATTCTTCTAAAGCGTGGAAGAGAGTTAGTCATCGTGCTTATTCCGTTACTACAGCCCTCACGCCTTCTTCACGGTTTATTTGGCAGGCTGACTGTCAACAGGATGAAAATATCACCCGTTTGATTACCCGCGGTGGAGATTCCGCTGACACACTTACTATCGGCACCACACGCAGCTGCATTTCTACACGCAGCTGCTCTTCCTACTGCTAGATCGATGTTGCTTTTCCCATCCGTCTGCTCATTTAGCTCTCTCGGACATTGTTTTTCCACCTTTCTACCGCTGCGCCTGTGCGACAAATCTATGCCGCCGGCGGAGGCACATGGACCTCTAGCCGCCCCAGCGAGGCTCTCGTTTGCAGAGGCGGTAAGGGACTCCTACCATGGCCATCGATTGCACTCCCAAAAGTGCTCTTTCTTGGATTTTGACTCCGTGGGGTTCACGGTCATATCCTACACCTTCAATGGAGATTCAACGACCTCTTTCTCCGGCGATGATATCCAGGTTTACTCCTCCACTTATATGCTTGTTAATATGCCTGCTAATGTTGCCCGGACTATTTCTGGTCTTGATAAGGTTACCCCCCAATTCTGATGATAAGAGTCTGAATTCTAATGTTGTTTTAGCCATTGATGAACCAATGCTTATCCCCTGTGCTGATACTTCTGGTACTTCTGCCCCGACTGATTCTTTCAAAAAAGATGAAACTGGCCCTTCCAGTTATGATTTCTCTGCCCAGATTGTTATTATACCTGCTATTGTTGCCCTATTTATTTCTGTTCTTGCTGAGGTAGAGTGTACTTCTGGTAGCATTGCCAGAAATGTTTGCACTGCCCCTGGAGCAGAAATCATCACCTCTTTTGACTTTGAAAGCCCCATTCTTAATGTTCCAACTGATTATGTTTCTATAGAAACAGTGCCTGCAGATTGTGTTTCTGATAAAACTGTTAGAAATGGACTTATTGATTGTGTTTCCACCGAAGTTGATACCTTGAAAAATGATGCAGTTGTAGCCTATGATGAAGCCTCAGTGAATGCCTTTGCAAATGCATTATCTGTAGGTGTTGGTCCTGAAGTTGATACAATTGAGTTGATATTTGGAAATGAAGAACCTCGTTCTGATCCATCTATTGAAACTGACAGGCTTATACTACACTTGATCATCCCCTGTCCTATGATGATAATACTCAATCTGAGGACCCCCGGTTATCACTGAAAACCAATTTCCTGTTGTTATTTTTCCCCGGATTATCTGATTAATCTACTACTATTTCTTTTTACTGCTACTTTAGCCATATGAGTTTCAAAATACCGAGTCTATTGTATATACGGTGTACGCTGTTCTCAGCCTGTGCTCACGTGTATGATATATTGATATCCCCAAAGTGTTCTTTATATACGGAGTATATCTAAAATAATGGTATTGATTTTTGACCCAAATCCCCACATTCATATCTCCAGGAGTAATTTTAAGGATGACAGATTGTCTAGAATTGGATGTCGAAGCATTACAGAAGGAAGTGGATGCCCATGTATTGTTTCCGCCAGAATCAGATTTTTCCAAGGTGTGTTCTTGTGACGAATGTTCTGCGAAACTGAAGGTCTTTAAGGAATTTGAGACAGATATATGGGATAAGCAAAATCGTGTCTGGGTAGGTAGAAATATCACATATTTAGTATATATAGGCATACAGATAAATTCATTTATATGTTGTTTTTGCAAGCATTTATATGTTTTTACTCAATTGCTTGTAAACAGGAACTTATAGACCAACAGCGTCCAGATCTTCTGAACTGTATAGCCCTTGGTGCTGCCTCTTATTGGACTAGAAGCCTGTTGGATCGTCTTCATCGTGAGCTTGAACTACTATACGAGGTAGACTGATTTCGATTCCTTACTCTGTAAATCTTGGTTGTAGCAAATTGTATAACATGTTTGATGTTTTTTTTTTACTACAGAAGTCAGGAGCCTCATGGACGCTCAAAAGAAGTAAATCTGAACAGGAGCTGATAGATGTATCTTTTCAAATCAGTAATATGCTAATAGATAATAAGCTGTTGAAAAGAATTGACCCTGTGGAGATAAGTGAGGATGAGTATTCCTATGATCAACCTCTTGCTTGGGAAATAAAGAGTGGGGTAAGATATTAGATTTTAGAGATTTAGTTATTTGAGAATGAGCCATAGTTACCGGACAATATTTACATTTTTCTGTTGTGTATAGATTTCTAATACATGTTTTTTTTCATTTCTTAGTGTTTTCAATGATCAGCCTTGACATCAGAACCATGCACTGAAATCAGATTGAATGGATGTTTCTTTCAACAATTCTAGCCTTTTATTGTGTTTGTTTATTTGCCCTATAAGTTAATGTGTTTTTTTTGTGGATTTTCTTTTGACAGTATGTCTGGTATGGGGATACCAGATTTAAGGATGCTGCTTTCAAAATTATTAAGAAGATTGAAGAGATCGAAAACCACCATGAGCATGACAAGAAATATGCTCAAGAAGAAGGAAGATCTCTGGATCCTTCAATATCTAAGAAGCACATAGATGACCAAATAATGGTAAAAAAGAGCCAATCCCTTATTTGCTAATGTTGTTTCTCCATTTGGGCTAATGATCATGTCTCGATTATCATAGTTTTTAAAGAAGCTGCCTGTTAGTCAACTGCACCATGATTGTCAAAAGTTTGTTCCAACAGTTGCTCGGGCTTTAAAAGCAGACAATGATATCAATTCCATTTATCATACTATGATTATAATTAGGAGGGTGTTTTGGAAGAAATATCAAATGGAAATTCTAGATTTCAATTAGTCATTTGTCTTAGATAACTTAATATCGAGTAGTGTGAGTAAGGCAGATTTAACATACTAAGTGAGAAGAAAGCAAGTAAAGTAGGCTATAAGAAAGTATCAGATACTAATTAGTCTATTTTTGGGAGAAATAGACTTCTTGGCTCTCTCAAAAACATTAGAAACAAAGCTGGAAATCTGATTTAAGCAAGTAAAATATGCAAATAGGCAAAAACCAATAGTTATGGAAGAAGAAAATATGATCGTGTAAAGAAGACACAATTAGGAAGTATGATCTAAAATTATAGGCATAAAAAAACTGCATTGATAACATATTAACATGTCATTTCTATTACACCTTTTCTTCTAATTTTTTAATACTTTAAAAATAAACCATTTATAAATATACCATTTATCAAACAGAGCAGACCATTGTATTGCTATAATCTTCCCGAAAGATGGCATGGTGGTGGGATGAGTTCTTCTTCCCAATTTCAGGTTTATTCGTATTTTTAAACTTTATTTTATTCAATGGTATTGGTACTTAATATCTTAGAAGCTTAGAATAAGAGTAAATTGAGCTTTATCAACATGTTTACAGATGTATTATGAGCAAGTGGGTATACCACAAGCATTTCTTCCCGATCCCCCAACACAGTGATATTGTTTTAATGACGTGCCATGGGGATGCAAATGGAAGGTGAATTTTGGTAAGCTCCAGTTTCCAAAGCTCACATGAAAACAACATTGGTATAACCACAGTTTGGTTAACAGTGAAACCTTTGGGTGCCCCTGCTTGTGATGTTCCTACTGAGTTTGATGCCCCTTGTGTGAAAGAGTTTGATGCCCCTTGTGTGAAACCAAATGATGCCCAGGTTAATGTATCTGTTGATAAACTTGTTACTATCCCATTTACTATCCAAGTAATTAATGCTTCTGTAAGTGCCAGACCTGAAGTTGATATGCTTGTGAATCTGTGAAGAAGCAATGATATTTTTGCATCAGACAGTGAAGGCAATGAATCGAGAATACAGTCAGTGGAAGGTATTAGTTTTCAAACTTTAATTCCATGGTATACATGGATGATGGAAACTACGTGTCATGTAAAATTTATCTTTCCTTATAATTAACCATCACCTTCTTTACTCTTAAACTTAAATCTCCTTCTAAATAACTATCGTGTTCCTTGCTCTTCAACTTATCTTTCCTTTCTAATGTTTTTTCTCTTTCTTTTTACTCTATTTTTTGCAGGTGCATTCCTTATAGTTTAGAAATCCGGGAAAAATGGCCATTACATCCGTGAGGAAGTTGTTCAGGTAGTTTAGAATGAAGGATATATGATTCAGAATACTTGCATCCCTTGTTTTTAGATATCTGCTGCATGTTTTATAATTCTAACTTCTCTTTTTCTTTAATATGCCACCAAAAAAAGTAGGATCAAATTCCACTTTGATCCCCCAACTTAATCACCATGATTCCTTTGCGACGGATGCCATGATATTGTAATTAGCTCTGGGATCTTTCTTCACGTTAGTATTTAAGGCATATGTTCAATATGCCTCCAAATGTAAAATTAAAAGGTGAAATATTTCAATGGAGTAAATCAAAAGTGACCTCCAGATGTATGTCCACAATTACCCTTTGTAATATGCCCAAATAGGACCTAAGTTACTTAGTATAACCAAATAATAAGCTTACAAAGTTTCAATTTCTGATAATGTAACCCTTCACATGATAACCCCAGGAGATTTCTACTATTCAAACAAATATCATGGAAGCGGTTGAATCCAAGAGGTTGATATTTTACGCTTTTAGTATTTGGTTTTCAGCTTTGAAATGGAGGCATTTCCATAGACCTGGGGTGATGTTGATCATGTAGATAACATGTTAGGTTCTTCTTATTACATAAGCCCTTGAATTAGGGGTTGCTGATGAACTTGATTCAGTATAGATGTATCAAAAGAAGGAAATGGGATGAACTATCCCAAGAAGTTCTGATTTTATGCGCTAGCCTTTGAATAGACAATTAAGATTTGTTGTTTCCTAAAAGGTTATCCATATCTTACTGCACATATAAAAGGCCAATGAAGGTTTGTTGGCCTATTGTCGTTACTACAGTCCCTAACTTTCTGCCTCGGTTTATTGCCTTTCGTTAGACGATGAGTTGGCATCTTTCGCGCCTCAGTATACACCCGTGACCCGACCTACTTTTTAGTTTCATTATTCTCAATTTCAATATACTTTTCTGCTAAATTTCAAGATAAAGAATTTTCATGGTGAGGTAGGAACGATTTACTCAGAAATCATGACTTGGTTAAATCTGGATTTCGGTTAGAAATTACTGATAAACGAATAATGTATTTACTTGAGGCCCTGACATTATTATTGATGACTTGAACAGTCCATCGATTCTTCAAATTGATGGTTATTTATGTATTGAAGTATCACATGATTAAAATACAATATCTATTTCATTTCAATCGGTTATTGCTCTCCGTTTTATGGAATCACATTCATTTTACTGGCAGACTCTAGGCTCACCTGTTTGCGACTCCAGTAAGAAGAAGACAGATAAGAGTTATTCGGGTACAGCCAGCAGTTTTTTCAACTATTTTCCTTGACAAGGGTGGACAGCGAGAAGACTACTTGGTTAATTGATACTTTTGTAATACATTTGCGCAGTTTTTTTATAAAGTACAGTTTTCTCTCTTTACCGAACATTGGGCCTGACCGTCGCGCAACGCGCGTCCCACGCTAGTCAATATATACACATATGACTGATCATACGTACATGTGTGTTTAATTTCTAGGAGAGAGAATCTTTTAATGCATTTTATACAAAAATCACAATAATCTAAGATCATGATTGAGAGCAAGCTAAGAATATTTGATATCATTAATGATTTTATATGTGGCAATGATGTGGCACAAAAAACTGCTTATTTGAGTATCACCAATGGAGTTGCTCTAATTAGCGAAAATCTCATTATAGTGAGCCAACCACTAACTAAGCCTACAAATATTAAAACATTTTTATATTTAATTATTTTTCTTATTTTATGTTTAAATATGTCTATGTATATATTGTGTGTGTATATGTAAAAAATTATAACTGTAATTATATCATCACGGGTCGGGTCCAAAACGGGCCGGAACCTAAAAAACCATATCCGACCCATTTTCTCTATCATGTAACGGGTTCAGATCCGGATCCGAGAAACGGTTCTAAATTTAGATCCATACCCTCAAATAAAGTGCCGGATTCGGATCGGGTCCGGGTCTAGACCCGACCCATTGTAGGCCTAAACGCGGGTTACATTACTCTACTACTAAAACAAAAATAAAAAAAAATTATTGTTCATGTGTGCAGGGGTAGAGCCAGGGGGGTCAGGGTGGTCAGCTGACCCCGCTGAAAGTGTGAGAATGTAGAGCTCTGAATAACTTTCAATTTGATATATTATAGGTCTCGTAACTTATTTCGAGTAAAAAGTTATGGCTTCTGGAAAAATCGGCATCATCCAAACTTGAAATGATCAAAATTTGATGTGTGATATGGATTATATTCTTAAATTTTAAAACAAAACACCTTATTCACTCAATAAATGTGTGAAGTTTTTTCAATACATGACATATATATCTACACAATAACTGAATATGTCTCATTAAACTAGCATTTATCTCAACTACATATGAAATGTTTAACTCATGTGTTGTTTAATAACGATTATCCATTTTGATACCGTATAGGCGTATATAATTGAATTTCAACCCCGCTCACATGTTTTTCTAGCTCCGCCACTGCATGTGTGTAACTATTCACGCATATTTTAGTTGTGGGAGTACAATGATCACCTTGAGCCCGCTGCTCCCACTATGACAACTGATCAACTAACGGAGTACAGCAGATTATTAGCTCTTCACCGAAAACTACTGAAATTGTCGTCAATAGGATATATGCATACAGTATGGCCATTTTAAAAACCCTTTTTCAAGGAAAATTTGATGATCCCATCCATCACTGATGTATCAACGCAGATACTACATAGGACATAATTTCATATGCTGCTGTTGGTTCTTATTCCAAAAACTCTGTTATGCCACACCGAGTGAAGTATCATGTGGAAAGCGTCATACTTGACGGGTTTAGGGTGCCATAGGAAATGTTGTTGGACAATCTTAACCCTTCGTTGCATCTCTCGGAATCTCCTGTCCGGGATTGATGCAAGTATGTTCTTGAGCTCTGGAATATTCTTCTCTGGGACAAAAACTGCAAAAGATTCCCAGTTCAATGTCTCAAACAAAGGGGGCACAAAGTTGTCTGATATGATCACAGGAACACACTCGTAGAAGATGGCCTCCACCACGCGGGGGCTGTTCACTTCGTACCTGATAAACACGTATAACAAACCGAAGTGTGAAGAAGATGTTTAACAAAGAGAGAACAAATGCTTATGGGGAGAAATTTTTATTTCATTCCCAATCATTCCTTAATACAAACATCCATTTCTACAGAATTACAAAAGTATAAAACAAATGAGGAAAATTGCATTCCTTTAAATAGAACAATCATTAACTTTTTCTTGCTCTTTTTCCTACTTTTTCCCCTTTAGGATTCAATGAGCCATAATTGTGCACGTGCTCCATGTTTTACTCCTATTTACTATAATCTCTTAAAACATAACTACTTAACTAGTCAATAGTACGTTTCTTAAAAAAAATAGTCAATAACTAGAAAGCCCAATGGACAAGCATTCTGCATAACAATGGTCTCGGGAAGAGTCCCATGGTAATTACCTCTCTTCACTAACCACCCACTAATAATAACTTCATGGTAATTAATCATCTAATACTAATAAAAAATGAATTAATACAATATTAAGACGAACCCATCCAGAGAAAAGAGTTTAACCTGATGAATGTACAACAGTACAACTTTTTGTACAGATGTGAAAATCGTTATTTTTAAGGATATTTTTTGAATTATTTTGTGCAAAGGACTTTTTTCTTTTCGAATGGCGAGAGTAATAATAATATAAAGTAACCAACCAACTTACATCAAACAAAACTACCCATTAATATAACTACATAACAATAGAAGTAGTAGTAGTACAAGTACTAGTAGTAAGAATAGTAATGATAACTCAGAGGTTCATTCGTACCCCTTTGCACAAATGCAGTACTTGCTACTCTTCATGTAGTTGACATATGCTTCCATATCTATGGGACCAAAGATTTTCATGGTGGAATCGTTTCCCCCCCAGTGTTGTAATAGAACAGGGCGGAGGTAACCATGCATGTTCCCGGCAAAGAAAGCGAGGTTTTGGCGTTGCGAAAGAGAATTCCCACCAATTTCTCTAAGGGGTTTCTTTGATGATTTCACGTATGTTTCTGGCAGAGATGCATCTTTACCAAATTGGAATCCTTGTTTAGCATCTGCATTGCACAAAGCTCTTATGCAATTTGTCATAAGTCGCCTTGTCTCTGTAGGGGCCTGTTAGAAATGCCATATCATCAGTTATGGTACCACAACTTGATGTCCTAGTCACTTCTGATCCTCATCTTCAAATAACTAACACTTTTAGTCCTCCCTAGCACCTTTTCGATGAAAATGTGACCTGAACTCTAGATACTATGCCTCTTTAATGTGATCAGAATCACCAAGGTTGATAAAAATTAAACTGGTGCACCAAAATTGATGAGTTTTTTAAATCAATAACCAAAAATGATAAGAACACTCAAGGCGTGGGATGAAAATGGTATTTAAGCTGCACAATTTGTATGAGCCTTGTTGAAATGATAGATTTAATAAAAAGATCATTCCAACATCTGATAAGAAGCAGAATCTAGGCTTGGAAGAAGAGGGGCAGAAGCCCCCGTGGGTTTACCGAAGGCGGGACGGGCTTGATCCCACCTTCGTGGGCTGGTTGCGGGCTGTTTAATTAATATTTATTATTCCTTTTATTTTGTTTCCTAATTTAATTTGTTTCCTAGTAGGATTTATTTAGGACTTCTATTCTCATTAAAATTAGAGGTTTCCTATTTCTATTTAGTTTCCTAGAATGATTTAATTAGGAGTCCCATTAGAACTAGAGGTTTCCTAGATTAATTTAATTAGGATTCCTAGTCTTATTAGACCTAGAGGGTTATTTTATACCCCTTGTATGCTTCATTCTTGATAATCTTGGAATAAAAGTTGGTTTAGCCTTTTGGCTTTGGGCAACGGTATTTATTTATCGTTGATTATCTGGGCAACGGTTCACCCCGTTGATTTTATTTTTCTGTTCATATCAATTGGTCCGACCTGCCGGATCCCGTCCCGCCGGAATGACGAGATCTATCAGTGAACATTTGTCAGAGATGGTGACCAAGCAAATTTGGATGAATCAAACCCTAGAGGAGCACGGCGTGCGTCTGGCAGAGATTGCCGCATCCCTGGCAGCGCTTACCAAAGCGTTCATTCCGCCAGTCACGACAGAAACAAGCCCTGACGCGGTTGGCAGCCCCACCGTATTTGCGCCCAGCAATGACGGACAGCCGCATAACGTCACTTCCTCCTTGACTGCGCTCACAAAGGCTCTCACGCCGCCAGCGGCGGAGGAGAATTCATCAGCGATGGCTTCACTTGACGCGGCAGCAACATCCACGTTCGAAACTGGATTGTGCAACACTTCTCTCATGACGCTGCCCTCGTTTGACGGAGAAGACCCGATCGGTTGGGTTGCTAGGGCTGAGCATCAAATCGAACTGAGTTGTACTCCGCCGGGAAAGAAGGTGGCAGCCACTCTAGTTGTGATGGAAGGGTCAGCCCTGTACCGGTTGACCTCGTTACGGGCACGAAAGCCGGGCATGTCATGGGATGAGCTTACACAAGCATTGGTGGCTCGTTTTGACTCACGGTTTAAGGGCAATTGCTTTGAACGGCTGTCCGGAGGCAAGCAGACAGGGACTGTGGAAGAGTACATCTCAATTTTTCCTAAAGATACTGGGCAGCCACCGGGAACAAATGTTAGCCGGTTTCCGGATTTCAACCTTGAGGACAAGGTTTTTTCGAAGGGGGGTGGAATTGATATGAAGCAGAATGTGGGCTTGGAAGAAGAGGGGCAGAAGCCCCCGTGGGTTTACCGAAGGCGGGACGGGCTTGATCCCACCTTCGTGGGCTGGTTGCGGGCTGTTTAATTAATATTTATTATTCCTTTTATTTTGTTTCCTAATTTAATTTGTTTCCTAGTAGGATTTATTTAGGACTTCTATTCTTATTAAAATTAGAGGTTTCCTATTTTTATTTAGTTTCCTAGAATGATTTAATTAGGAGTTCTATTAGAACTAGAGGTTTCCTATTCTATTTATTTTCCTAGATTAATTTAATTAGGATTCCTAGTCTTATTAGACCTAGAGGGTTATTTATACCCCTTATATGCTTCATTCTTGATAATCTTGGAATAAAAGTTGGTTTAGCCTTTTGGCTTTGGGCAACGGTATTTATTTATCGTTGATTATCTGGGCAACGGTTCACCCTGTTGATTTTATTTTTCTGTTCATATCAACATCTCATGGGCCTTGAAAAGAGCAAAGAGAAATCGAAGAATCAAATATAAGAATTGCCAGCATAAGTAATGCAACACAAATCATCATCATCATTACCCCAGTGCCGCAAAGGCTCTCACCTACGGTGGGGTA